TTTAGATGAGAGTGCAAAACCCTTTCTCCAAACATTTTCCACAAAGCAATAAAAACAAGTCAAGTCAGGTCAAGCCAAGTCAACAAGCTCTTCTGAAGCATCTGCTTTGTACCAGGCACAGCACAAAGTGCTAGGGATTTGAAGAAAGACCAGAAAAATAGTCCTTGCCCCAAAGAAGCTAATAATCTAATCTTGTACAAATAAGATACATACAGGACAAATTGAAAATAATCTCAGAAGGAAGGCATTAGCATTAAGAGGTTTGGGGAAAGGATTCTTGAAAAAGGGAGATTTTAGCTGAGACTTGAAAGAAACCAGAGATACCTGGACATGGAGATAGGAGGGAAAGTATTCCAGGCATGAGTACACAGTCAATAAAAATGTATGGAGTCAAGAAATGGGGTGTCTCGTACAGGGAACAGCAAAGAGGATAGTGTCACTGGATAGAATGTGTGGAATATAGGAATACTTAAGGCATAGAAAAACTGAAAAGTAGGAAGGGGTCAGGTTATGAGGGTCTTTAAAATCCAAACAATGATTTTATATCTGATGCTGAAAGTAATAGGGAACCATCAAAATTTACTGAATAGAAGGAGCAACATATTCAGATCAGGGCTTTAGCAAGATCACTTTGATAACTGAGTGGAAGATGGACTACAGTGATGAGACACTTGAAGCAGGGAGACCAACCAGCAAGTTGCTGTAATAGTCCAGGGCTGGGGTGGAGAGGCCTGCATCATGGTAGTGGCAGCATCAAAAAACGTGAAGAAGGCATATAAGAGAGATATTACAAAGGTAGAATGGAGGGGACTTGGCAACATATTGGCTAAGGGGAGGTGAGAGATAACAAGGAGCTGAGGATCCCACCTCATCAACTAGTAGGAGAATGACACTGAAAACTCATACAGTCCCCAATCTGAACTCAAAAGAAACTACTTACTTGTTTTCAAGCCTAGCACAGGGGTGAACAGAGACCTAGTTCTTGCTAATGCTCTCAGTATGAAAAGGAAAAGAGAGTGGGTGGGTCTCGGACCAAAGTCTTTTTATATTTATGCCTTAAATGTAGAGACAAAAAAAGATGAGGCTATAAAGTATGTGTGTTGGTTGGCAACTGGAATATCTTATAAGATGAGAGATTTCAAGGCCATTTAGTCAAAATATGTCATTTTACCAATGAGGAAACTGAGGTTCTGAGAGTTAAGTGACTTGATAGGTTACTAGGAAGTGAATGACAGCCAGGATTTGAACAAAAGTCCTCTGATTCTGAATCCCTCTCTTTCCAGTGTACCACAGTAGAGTCTTCCCACTCAATGTTGCCCTTGTTCCAATTGGACTACTCAGATCTGGGAGCGTTAAAGTCTTTTTCTATAGGGCAGGAAACTTCTATTACATTGGAACCTAGAGGGACCATAACTGGGCTAAATTATTAACCTGGGTCATGGCTCTTTCTGTTGGAAACAGACAACAAACTGATTTAAGCTTAATTTTTTCCCGGTCTATTCAGTTTGTATTTTGTAGTTATAAATTAACAAGTCTAAACCCCTTCCTAATGTTATAGCAAGAATTAGGTTTTACCTATCAAAGAAGATAGTTGTTTGTTTGCCTTGACCAGTGAAATTGATAGTATAAAATATCAAATTAATTGTCTTATTTAACCGTGTTTGTGTTGGATTATTCCTACTGGTTGGTTTTTAATTGATGACTCTTCAGATCAGTCAGATCTATCAGACTGTGGATTGACTGCCTCAGTCATTTTGCAAATGTGTTGTAGGCAAAGAGAAATATTTTATTTCTACAGGCATTCTCTTCAAATATTCTAAAGCCTTGAATACTTTAGTCCACAATGTGAGTAGCCTTTCAGGATAATTAATTTCTTGTCAACTAGCTTCCCTTTTCCCACAGCCTGTTTGTAGCTGTGAATATTCTCTTTATCAATGCACCTTTAGGGAAGCACCCGCAAAGTTTCCAGTGTGGATAGGAGGTGATTTCTAGAGGGAATCCATCTGGAGGTATTGGGAAGTGAGCCAGAGTTCCCCCATGGTTCCTTTTCTAAGCCAGTGGGTTCAAGATAATAAGCTTGGTTAAAAAAAAATTTTTTTCTGGTTGCCAAGAGGTTAAGGAACCTGACTCAAATGTACCTGGGATGCAACAAAAATCACCACCACATCTTTTGAGGAATTCATCTTTTCCCCATTATATTTAACTAAAATCGAAGCCCTGCTTCGGGCTACCCTATCCAATTGAACTGTTGGTTAAATCATTAGAATGATTTATTCTGGCATGTTAACCCATATCCATTATATAACTCCCTTTTATCCTACCATTTTCAGTCCCTTGGGGTCCTGATTTCCATAACTAATCCAGTTATTAGTCTGGTCCAAACTAATTTTAAAGCCTGGGCACCAGTGGATTTGGACTCTGGTCTTCATCACCAGAAATGTGCTATGCCGAACACCTGTTTTCAATCTTACGCTCCATTTCTCAAATCTTATTATATCACTGGCTTTTCACACTTGGTGTCTCTCTCTAATATTTGTTTGCAAATTACTAACTAATTTGTCTCTCTATAATTACTGTAATTTTTTTTAGCCTCATCTGTAGCAATCCCTCCCTCCTGGTGTCATCTCTGCCAGGCCTGTTCATTCCACAAAATGGCCTAAGAAGGGGGAAGTTGGTTTTTTTTTTTTTTAATGTGATAAAGACCAGGCTGCTGTCTTCAGTTGCAAAAGGGTTGTTCTAGGAAAACTGCGCTAGTATCTTTCTCATGGAAGTATCATGTGAGATTAGCAGTCTCTAGAATCGTGACTTAGTAATATCAGACTGAGTACAAATTGAACCCTGCATCTATTTAGAAAAATACCTCATCTTACATGAGATATTTCCATATTCTCTTTTACTTCACAATTTTGTTATTTCCATAGCTTTTCTGTACTTTCAAGGAGTGACCCAAGTCACTTTGCCATCATTAACCAGCCTCATAGCAGCCTTGTACAGTAGAAGGGTGTTATTTCCCCCATTTCACAGATAACGGAAAAGCCATGGCAGAAGAATGAGGGACCCAAAAAAGCCTGAGGCAAAAAAAAAATAGGACCATCCCAATTGTTTATTTATTTAGGTTAGTAAGTTAGTTAGTTAGTTAGTTAGTTATACTGAGACTCTGGCCATCAAATAAAGCTATAGTTATGTATGTTAGTATATCAGTAACAGGAAGATTTCTAATTTATTTTGCCCATTGATATGAATCGTGTGTATGTGTATATAGATTTGTGGAGGAGAGAGAGGGAGAGAGACAGACAAAGACAGAGGGATAGAGCCAAATTCTCTTTTTTCAGAAAGCCCCATAAATTCTCCAGACAGATAAATCCCTTTAAAGGGTATTCTCCCCAGAACTTCTGGAAGACTAAGCTACTTGGGAAAGGGTTTCAACAGGTTAACTAGGACATGTATGAGATAAGTAAGGAAGCTGAACTTGGAGTCATGGGTTCTGAGTTCAAATCTCAGGTTCACCACTAACTACCTTTGTGACCTTGGACTAGTCACTTAACCTCTGTGGGTCTCAGTTTCCTCGTCTGTAAATAAGGGAGGTGGGCTAGATGACCTCTAAGGTCCTGTCCTTATGACCTCTAAGGTCCTTACTTATGATCTTATGACAAATTCTTTGGATATATGTCTGGTCAATCACTTGCTAGGCATGGCTTCCAGGTTTTCTTAGACTACCTGAGATTTGTCTAAACATTTGGTTGACCTGCAAGTGAAGAATTTTACCTATGAATGCGAATTTATCTTTTAAACCACATTCCCAAAGTTCACAGGTCATATCTTTTTTGAATTGCTGGTAATGGTGCCCCACACCTTATTTTGCACCAGAGTGGTTATTAAATATAATGAATGTGCTAGAATACCTTTAGCCAGAGCTAAAGGAGTCAAGGGATCATTTGAAAACTTAACCCTGAAATAAAGTCGCCAGTCATCTATTGTTCACTTCTGCTATCTAGACAATCACAAAATATTCCTCCAAATCTCCATTGTCTCCAAAGTGATGTCTTTTGACATCAAATACGCTCTTTCAGCCATGGCACGGATTGTCCAACCTTCGCACAGTCACTCAGCAGTTGTCTGAGGTTAACCCATTCAAAAAGTGGCAGTCCTAATAAGCAGAATGGAGAGAATCTCTCAGATCATTCTTAGAGCTATATAGTTGGGAAGCTATTGTTCATTCATCCATCTATAAAATATTAAAAAACCTATTAATTATTTCAGAAATCTTGTTGAGGCAGAGGGAAGATATCATAAATTTTTCTGGGCCAATTTAGCCCGACCCCCAAAGACTACCACTAAATCAGAATTCTCATCGACTTCAAAGATTGTTCAGTACCCAGACTCCCTGTGTACACTAGGGAAAGATAGATCTGCCCTCCATTTTTAAAGCTACTAAATTGACTGTCCTGTTTACTTTAAAGCTTCCCCATACTGCTACCCAATTTTTGCTTTAATAAACATTTCTCTTGTTTCTTTATGTGAAGCATGAATGGTCTGGTCCTCTAGACCTCTTAACATGCATTGATTTTAAATGCAGAAAAAAGATCGAGGGAACTGAGAGATCGCTGAAATTTGGGAAGGAGCAGGCCTCGGAGAGAGGTGACTTGAATGTAAAGCCAGATCGCAATATCGCTGGTGGTATGCTAAAGTGGTCACTCAAGGCAGCATCACCTATCAGAGGCAACCCCTCAGGCAGGTTTTGGGACATTATGCCATAAATAGCTGAGGCAAGAGTGATCGATTTACGTGCCCTGAATCCAGATGTTGTCTCTACCAGAATTCAGCAATATCATCCTCACAGCAAAATATTTATTAAGGGTCTCTTACAACATGTGCAACAGCAAGGAGGCACTATCCTTTACCATAAGCAAAATAAGATTCATGAATAAAAACAGTTACAAAGCACTCAGAAAATATAAAATGCTAGACAAATGCCAAGTAATATGTTAACATTTTTGCAGAGGATAGCTACTGGTGGATGAAGGCTATGAAGACAAACTTCTGGTTGCTCATGACATACATACTAAACATTGGTTGGTGAAATATGGGGGTCATGGCTATTTACATATCCTCACTGATATAGTTCCTAAGATGTTAATCAGAGGCATATCTGGGGATGCAATTAAGAAGATATTAGTAGAAAACCCTAAATGATGGGTAACTTTCAAATAGCCAAATCATTTCGGAATCTTACACATGAAACTTACAAAGAAAATCCAATTATTTGAAACCAAGCCAGTTTGGGGGGGAAGGTGGGGAGAGAGGGAATGGTGTGAGTATTGGGACAAACCTGTGGGAAATAATCCAGAGCTCCTCAGGGCTAATAATCTTTCTTTTTATTAGAATAATGAGAGGTTTGCCTTATCTCTGAATCTGGCTACCTCTAATACCAGTTTTCCTTAGTTATAAAAAAATTTTTGAGAAATACCCGTTCCCAAACAGTGATTTTAATCCTATACTTAGCAAATAATTGGATTCTTTTGAAGATTCATCAGCTGTACTACTTGAGAAAATTTAAACTGTTTCCAGTTAAATTACCCCCCTCTGGAGCAATTTAAGGTTTCCTGTAATATTGATGATCCTACTAATTATCCTGCTGTTCTTTAATTAATGCTTAATGAATAATATGGCACTATAAAGTAGCTTCTGTAGCAACTGAACTTGAGATTTTAAGTTTTTTTCTTCAAAAGAGACTATCACATTGCTACCAATTTACAAATGCTTTAGAATATTTTAAATGAAATATCCAACATATGTTCTCTCTCTCTCTCTCTCTCTCTCTCTCTCACACACACACACACATACACACACACACACACACACACACATGCCAACAATAAAAGCAGGTCCCTCTCTTCACTGAATTCAGAGGTACGTATTTGTTTGGTTCTAAATTTTGTTCTCATGCTTTTGGAAATGTGTAAACATGAACCACATGGATACTCACTTTGAATTATAAAAATGCAATAATAAAAGTTGAAATATATTACATAATATAGTTTAATGAATTATCATCATTACATGTATAACAAAGGCCACAATTTAATTGGTTTGTTAGATATGATGCAAAATAAATAAATAGATATATAAATAAAAGAAATGTTTGCCTTATACATTTTCCCATTTCTTTTGTGTGTTTTTTATTTGAATATTTTTCTCTGGGCCTAAACAGGGGTAAGCAATGGTTATTTATCTGAAGAAAAGGTCGTATCTATTAAAAATGACAGTCTTGATTTTTAAAGCTTGGAACCCCGCTCTGGGTTGTTGGGTTTTTTCCCCCCTGTGGAATGAAGTCCTTTTATTAACTCCTTGGTGTACGCTACTCCCGAAATAAATCTTTTGTTTGAATGCTTACTTTTCTAGTTGATACACACACAGCTTCCCCAAACCTTGCTTCCAGTTTCCTCTGTAGTAAACATACATGTCCACAATTATGAAAGTCTCCTAAGTGGAAGGGAAGTCCATTTTAATTATTTTTTTTATGAAATAGCTTAGCATTAGAAAGACCTAAGAAGATTAATCATTGTACTTGGTGAGTATCTTCAGGCTTTTTCATCTGGTAAAGCATGGTGTTTGATCAGACTGGGGCACGTTCCTGGGGGAAAACAGGAACTATAAATAAATATATTGATGAACAACAATACTGCTTTTTTGAGATCTTGGTTAGGCTACCTTAGACGTTTACTGAAAATGACCATAGCGGAGCTATGATGATAACCCATAGACTTGGAATGGAACTGTTCCAAAAGAGACAAGCCAAAGACACAAACTAGTTTCTTGGAAAAAAAAAAGTAGAATGGACACGTACAGTTATTTCAGCAGTGAAACAAGTGGGTTAAATTTTTTAAAATTTCTGTTTCTAAAAGCTATTTGTCAGAGGATCTTGAAAGGCAAATAGCAAGGAATAGATTTTTCATCATTATGGGGGAAGTTGTTTGACGGTTCAGTGTATGACAACGCGCACTTTATATCTTTCACTTGGTAGATTAAAGAGATGGCTTTTGGCAGTACGTGTTAACCAGAGAGGCTGGATTTTGGCCTGTTACTGCACTCAAAGTCTACATTAGTGTCAGTTTCAGTCCACCTCTGAAACAGGAACAAATTGATGGCTCAAATACATGTAATACATCAGCACTGAAGGAGAAGCCACTTTGTTACTGCGAGCCTAATGTTAATAGTCTATCACAGACTCCAGAATAAACTCTTGGTTTGAATATGAGAGGAGTGGTCCAATAGGAAGGAAAACGTGCTCCAGGCCATCTTTAACCTATGCAAAATAATATTATCTTTTTAAATTCTTAACAGGAGCTGTTTTCACTAAGAACTGTTGTTTTGGTACTCCATACATTTTTGACATTCAAAATAATTCAAATACCATGTATAGTACACTTTTTTAAAAATGTAGTTCTCTAGACTCTATATCCACTGTGCCTAAGCCACATATAATATATATACATTATATATAATGTACGTATTATATATAATATATATTGTGTATAAAATATATACATCTTGTATTGATAATATGTCTATCTGTTAATTTTGAAATAACCTCAGGCTACAAACTTGTAGTAAGGGTTTGAAGGCATTACAAACTGTCCCCTTGGTAATTCATGCAGTGGCCCAAATTAAGCCTTTGTACATCAATAATCTTTTGTTCCATCCCAGGGCATGAGGGGTGTGGATGGGGAAGAGGACGGCAATCTGGATTTATACTGAAGAAGAAATGCTTTTGCCTTTTGAAGGAAGTGTAGAATTTTTTTTTATATGGACTCAATATTTATATTGACAAGATGAACAATTATGAAGCTATCTAAACACTGTAGATACTTACACAAATTTCTTAGCACATGTACAGGACAATTCAATGTTACATTCTAGCTCTGTTTCTAAAAATCATCATTAGAGGGAGGGGAAGACCAAATTAATAAAAATTAAACTATGTGGCAATAATACAAGGCTTGAGAATTACTTCCCTCAAAATCTAGAACATTCCAGGTTAAGGCTTAAAGCTGAATCACTCTTAAGTTTAGGTATAACAGTAACAAAAATACAAGGCAAACAATTTCTTTGGAAAGAAACAGTATGATTTCCCTCGAACCTTTCTTTTTAGCATAAAATCATCCCTCACCACACTGTAAGTGGCCTCCAGGTATCATAATTAGCAGGTAAACTCACAAGAACCAAAGCTGACATATGGATAAAAGCAGCAATACCATAATACACCAAAGTATCATATATATTGAAGAAATAATTTAGTGTAGTAGATTTTTCTATAAAAAGTTGTGATCTCTATAGGACTTCATTCACGTGGACACTAACATTAAGGAGTATTTGCTTTGGCGGCGGTAGTGGATCACACATCTGCATATCTTGCTTTTAATTTTTTTTTTTAACATAAGGTTTTTTTCTGAGTTGTACAGATGTGAGTCAGGTAGCATTTGATTTCCCCCCTCCCCCCAACACACACACACTATTGATGTGCCCCACTGTTGGTATCCACTGGGATTCTTGATTCACAGGCATGAGCCATTATGGATCCATTGCTCAGATTCAGAAGAAATAAGCTTAGTTCCTGAATTATCAGTCCGCATAAATAATAAATCCAGAAAACGTGCTGTATTTGTTGTTGTTTCCTCCATGTGCTTTTCCTCCATCTAACTTTATGTAGACTTCATCTCCTGGCTCCAAATGAAGAACCACACTGTTACTGGCATAGTCGTAATTCTGATCAGCATCCTGAGCAATCGCACTAGCACGGACCTACGTGAAACAGACATGCAATTAAAATGATTGTTAAAAACTTAGAACGCTTTTTTTCCTAGTACTCAAAAGACCTAGATTTAAATGAGAGTTGTGGATTCTCTATAATTACTCTAATGTGACCAACCGTGGCATGGAAATTGGTATATTTAGTCCATAGCAGTTTGTTACTGGAAAAGAATGATGTCATTATACCATGGTTTCCACTCTCTCACAGTCCTGTTGCACAAATCTTGAGGACAGCATTGCTGTGAGGCTTCATTCATTTCCTTGTCAGTTTTGACTAATAGTTATCATCACCATTGTGACATTTACTACTTAAAATAATACAAAAACAATTTTTCCTCTTCTTTGAAAAAGTTCCCTCCTGTCCTGACTCCTCTCACCCATCCAATAACTCTTCTTGAAGTAAGAAATAAAAACCACTTAATTTCTCGAATTTTAATTTAAACCATCATTAACTAGACAGCCTGGCGAAAGGCCAAAAGAATATGAGGCTATTCATGCCCTCATTCCATTAGTCTTCACTTTGGAATTTAGCACACTGCTTGGCACATTGTAAGCACTCAATAAATGCTTGCTGCCTTGGGGCCTTAGCACAAAATTCTGTAGGATTCATGATAGAAAAAAATCCAAGGAACTACTTGGACTTCAAAAAATAATAATAATAAAACAAAAATAATGTGTATAAGCAAACCTCAAAAAATATATTTTGAATGGACTAAGCAGATTCTAGAGAAGATTTTTTTCTTTAAACTAATGATAACCAACAGATCTGTTGGGTCCTCAGAACCTTATAAATATAAAAGAAAATAAACCTATAGTATGGTCTCAGAGTTTACAAAAACTTGAGATGATGATGATGGTGGCGGTGGTGGCAATGGTCAGCATTTATATAGCACTTTAAGGTATTCGAAGTACTTGACACATTATCTCACTTGATCTTCACAACAACCCTGTTATTATTATCATGCTGATTTTATAGATAAAGTGAAATTCAAACGAGACTTTGTGATCTGACCAGAGTCTGAGGCAGGATTTGACCTCGGTTCTTCCTTACTCTAAGGCCCGAACTCTATTGCACCATCTAGACAAGCTTTAGACACTGACCTCATTTAATATCTTTGGTTAGGCAACCTAAGTTTGTTTGGAGTTCCCTATTTCTATATATTGATCCTTTTGAGCATCATAGTTTAGCCAGGCAATGCTGGCATATCCCCTTAAATCAATGAATTAAACCGAGCATAACCTAAAAGATATAAAATGAACTAAATTCCCATTATTTAAGGGCTCTACATGGCTTTGAATGTGAATTCTCTAATTGAATGTACTTTTATCATTTGATGGCTGTAAACATGTCATTTCCTTTTGGTTTTCAACGTGTAGGCTGCTCATGAATCGGGTCTGTGATCTCATTAGTGAGTTGATAGGCATTTACAAACAGTCAAATTGCCCATCACATCAAGTGATATGAACATTCTGTCACATCTCCAACTCAAATGAAGCTTTGCCTTCATTTAGTTCTGTTTTGGTTCAGCCTTGTAAAGCATTTCGGTAAGCATATTTGTAGGTGATTTATGACAGTAAAACATCTTCCTCTTTGTGACTAGTTACTACCTCCTAAAATAATCACACCTCCCCAAGTAAAGGACCTGGGGATGAAATGCCTTTGCAAGCCTCAACTAAGCACTAATAGATGACTTCGGCAACAATATGCTGGATTTTTATCATTTGGCAAATTGGAGGGGGAGGGGCAGGAAATGACCCATAAGTCAAGAATTTCTTTGCTTTCCTTTCAGAGTTGAAATGATGGATTTTCAGATTTAAATTTTCATGTAGGACGACACCACATTAATGCTGAAATGTTAAAAGAGGAGAAATCTCTTTGACATTGCTGAACTCAAAAAGTAATTTGAGTAAGGAAGGGAGTGGGGGGGTTAGAAATCTTTCTAGGTATCACATACCAAAGGGTAAGAAGAGCCTAAAGGCAGTAGAACAGTTTAACACTATACAAACTTGCACTTATATTTCTTATGATGATGGCAATACACCATATGATTATACTTAGAAATATTCACTCAAATATATACACCAATTGAGTAGCATGATCTGTTTTGATCATTAAATAATAATAATTGAACCACAGAACATTTCTTGGGAATTAATTACCAGCTGGAAGGAGTTGATCACCTTGAGTCACTAACTCCATCTAGTCATTACTCCCCAGAAATAAAAAAAAAAAACCACCTATAGGATATTGCTATTTGGAACAGATATTAAAAACAAAAACCAAAAAGACTAGGTTTTAATGGATGGTGAAAAATAAATTCCATAATAATTCTTTGTACTATTGGACAGAAAAAAAATCCATTCATGTGTTTAGAAATACAGTATATAACTAATAGCTGTTAATACGATTTACATAACATTTTATATTTGGGATAATATGCTTAAGTATATTTTGCAATTTGTTGGTTTAAACATTAAGTGCATCCTCTAGAAGGGCATTACAGGGCTAAGAAATCATTCTCTGTATTAAAATGACATGATTTATAGGCAACAGTCCTTAAGATATACAGCAATTTCTATTCAGTTGTGTATCCCCACAAAATCCTGTAAATGCATTAGTGTGATCCCTGCATTCCAGCATTTTACCCCTCACAGATTTCCCTTCCTTTGTTTGGAAAAGCCAGTGCAATTTCTTTTTAATGTCTGAGAAGAATCCCATAAGACTTTAAAATACTCTGCTACAAGACCTTCCAAATTAAACAAGTATCATTCTCTAGTATGCTTGATATCATTTAATATGCCTGCCCACCTCATCATATTGCAAAGGTATAATGGGACCTAGAAACTGCAAACACATAGGAGCCAGCTCTGTGACTTCAGCAATTCTTGAAGCTCTCAGACTATTAAGGGTAATATATTCACCCTGCAGATGACTTTGAATTCCTAAATGTACACTAATTTGGATGTTTTCTCAGGGAACATGATGCTTTCTTCACGTTCAACCCACTATCACTAGTATATCCCTGAATGTAATCCACCATCTTTTCTATAATGCATGCTACCTAAGAATTTGCTTTTGTCTTCCAGCATTTCCCAAAGTCTATAAAAAGATAACAAATATACTACAGTAATCACACCAATAACTATCTCCCCACAAAAAGAATCATCTTAAAGATAAGATCAGGTACTTAAGTTAAATTCTAAGGAAAGAAAAATATCTGTATTATTAAATTTTCCATTTCTGATCTTTTTCTGCTTTCACTTGTTAGTTTATTTTGGTTTAAAAAGCAGAAGTAGCACTTTCTATAGAATAGCAATCTTTTACTCTCAAGGTTTCCTGCTTAATTGAAGGTATACAAGGATTTTTTTTTCTGGGTTTTTTTTTTTTAACTTCACTTTGAATAATTTTGGTCTTAGCCTATCCTAAACAGCAAAAGAGGCAAAATGTAAAAATAAATTTAAGCTTATTTGGTGAGACAACCACATCAAAACCCCAGCCATATTCCTTTTAGTGGTAAGTTTATCAAAGTAAAAATGAGTTATTTTGTCATCATCTTATTATTAAAGGTTTATCATTAGAGACTATATTTATGGCAGACATTTGCTAATTTAATTAATTGTTACTGAAGTCCTCATAATTTCATTTTCATATTACTTCTGATGAATCATAAACAAAAGGTTAAGTGGCATATCAGATTAATTTACTGCCTTTTGATGTTTCCTTCTGTGATCCTGTATCCAATACAGAGCATAAATGAAATGACTCTTATAAGGTTCTGGTACAGTAGCCTTTCTCTCCTGGAACACATTGCATTTTTTGTTTATTTTATTATCATTATTATTATTTTTTTGCCTCTCAAAATCCACTTAATCCATGGAACATGACGCTGATATGGATGCACAAGTTTCAGTTCTATGGACATAAATTAGGTCAGATCAAAAAAGGGGATAGCATGGAAAATGGTTCTAAGAAATTATCAGAATGCTGTATAATTTCAAAGGGGGGGGGAAATGAAGGAAGAATACTTTTGTGGAATTCCTATCACATTTTCTGCCAACAACCTGAACTCTACAACAGGACCCAATTATTTCAGAACCATACTCTAAATCTACAGTAATCTGCTTACAACTATATGGATTTTTTGCTTTTTAGAATTACCTGTTGCATACATCTTGCAGAATTAACAAATCTAAATGATTTAAAGCATTATACATTCTACACATCGACATATATGAAGCCTGGCTATCTGTTTTGCCCTCTCTTTCTGACTGTACAAAAGAGGCCCATATCTGTGAAACTCCACTGATGTAATAATTAAAAACACTAAAGTAATTAGCCTTTGGAAGGGGGGAAAGGTTTTAATGAAACCACTATAATATACACAGGCTTAGTAGGTTAGAAATCAAATTTCAACTATTTTAAATGGATTATTCCTCTATTTTCTGTTCTGCCAGATCTCTAAAAAAGTGAATTTTTAAATGTTTTAATAAAAGCTGAATCTTATTACAATCATGAAGAATCCATTACATATACTTTGCTTAAAACTTAATTTATGTCCATAGAACTGAAACTTGTGAATTCATGCCAATGTAATGTTCTATAGATTAAGTGGATTCTGAGAGGCAAAAAAAAAAAAAATTAAACTAAAAATGCAATGTTTTAATGTTGTTTTTTTTTGTTACCTCCACTTATGCTACCTATCACACTTCCATTTAGGAGGTAAGTGCTTAAAAATAATGCCTACTGATTGGTTGTTATAAATGTAAATATACCTTTCAGGATATCATAACACCCTAAAAGACATATTTTCTTACAATGAGTCATGTCGCCTTCAGAAATCTACCTATAACTATCTGTAGAATCAGAGAAAAATTTTATTTATTTTAACATTATTTTCATTCATAATAATTATAATACACATCCCGGGCAGTGCCTCCTGGTGGCAGTTTGCCTCTTTTTCTATTCCTTGGGCCCTGAAGGCACTTTAAAGAAAAAAGGCCTTTGTCCTTTTTGAACATCCAAGCCCTTTTGGAAAGGATTGCGATTTAGGTATCTATCATCTGGCTTTTGTTTTCTTGGGGCTGAAGGGGGAATTAATCGAAGAAAGGCCTCTAGTGTTGGGGGAGAGAGGAGAAAGGGTGACTTGAAGCTCTACTTTGAGCAAATGGCGGTTCCAACCCATGCCAGAACAGTTAACCTAGGGGAAGTGGAGGGTCCCCATTAATTGCCACCTAATTAACATCGTGACTTTTCTCAAGACAAGACGCCTAGCGGGGTGTTGCAAGGCCTCTGAATGAGTTGGCTGGGAGGGAGGCAGCCGCGTATTTTAAAAGCACCGTCGTGGATGCGTTCCTTAGAGCATCTTGGAAAAGAAGATTACAGCATTGTTTTCTGTCTCCAGCCACGGGACTGCGCACGATTTCCGTTTACAGCAGCAGTTCACTACTGGAGTGAGAGTGAAAAGCGCTGGAAGCACCAGAGTTCGCCCCAGCCAAGTGCGAACCCAATTCCCCGAAGACTCTTCTGCCTCTGTGCTTGGGTAAGGCCGCTCCGTCTTCCTGGGCTCTCCTACTCCCACTCCTAATGCAAACGCGCGTGGGCGGGAGGAAGCCCTGCGCTCAACTGGCCTTAGCCCTGGGCCCCGGCAGGAGACTGGGAGGGGATGAAGCTCTTCCTCCGGCGTCCAGGGCACAGGCCGGGCGGGGTAGCTTAGCGCAACGTGCGCTACTCCTCTCGCGTCCCCGCAGGCCCGCGAGGCGCGGTGTCGAGCGCCCCACGGACTTTCTGGCCTTTCTACTTTTCTTCTTCCTAGAAACATCCCCGGTCTCGTCCTTTCTCCTTCCTCTCCCCAAAGTAAGGGTTCTAATTTTTCACACTTAAAGAGCCTTCTCCCTTCCTTTGTCCTAGAAGGCAGCGTGGGTCCCTTTGGCCACCAGGTCAGGAACCCGTCAATCTCCTGCGCGCCCCTGCTCTGAGCATCTTCTTGGGACTTCGCTTTTTCTTCTAGGGTTGATAGTCTCCGGTTCCCGGGAGAACCAGCTTGTCTTGTAGGTTCCGGCCCCATTCGTCCCCTTTCTTCCAGATGATACAGGTCCCAACTTTTCCACCCTTGGGGAACAACCCCACGCGCACTCCCGCCCCTCGGAATGCTCCTGGATCTGACCTCTCCTGGGCTTGGAGTTTGGGGGTGGAGGAGTTGAGCTATCTTGAAGCAGTCTGGGACCGCCCTCTCCAAGCTGAGCCGTAGTCTACCGGCCGTCGGAAAAATTCCACCCCTTTCCCAATCCTAGGAGCCCTCAGTGAGACAGTGTCCCCTCCAGCCGTCTCACTCCTGAGTCCTGGTTACGTCTCCCCTTCCCCACTTCGTTTTCCATTACCCCACCCCCCAACTTGACTTCGCAGATCTCTTCTATCTTCACCCTCCTCCCTTCCCTCGAAGTCCCCCCCTCTCTCCAACCCCACTTTCTTTTCTCACCTGGTTGTTTTTGCAGAGATCAGCCCACATGCTGGTGCCATCCCCCCCGCGCATCAGGACGTGGTAGGTGAAGAAGTAGATGCCTGGGATGGAACAGGTAAACTTGCCCGTGGTCGGGTCGTAGTGGTTGCCCAGATTGGTGACTACGTCGTCGAACTTGAGGACCTCGTAACCTTCGTGTTGGCGCTTAAGGCCCGCGTAGAAGGCGATTTTGGGTACGGTGCTGTAGGTGGCGGCGCTGATGGCCCCGGCCGCGTTGAGCCCCGGAGCCCCGGGGGGCCCCGGCAGGCCCTGACGGCCCGGCTCCCCCTTCTCTCCGGGCGGCCCCACGGGGCCCGGCGGCCCGGGCTCTCCGGGAGGTCCGCGGGGGCCGGCTTTGCCCGGCCGGCCGGCTTCGCCTTTGGGGCCCTGGATGAAGGTGGGCAGCGATTGCATGAGGCCCCGGTCGGGGGTCGCTGCCGTGCTGGGAGCTTTGGTGCCCCCGTAGGGGTCGCAGACCATGCGGCAGGTGCCCAGCATCTCGTAGTGCGCCGACGTCCCCGCCGAGCTCACCAGCACCGGGATGAGGATGACCAGCAGCAGGACCATCACCACCCCCAGGGCCCCGGCGGCGATCAGGCGCCTCCTGCTGCCCACCAACCGGCTCAGCGCGGGGCGATCCTCTTGTCTGCTTTTGGACAAAATTTTGAAGGCTGGGCGGGGACCTCCTCAGAGCCGAAAACGACCCCCTACGAACCCCCGACTCCCTAGGGCCGCCGAGCGTCCGGCAGCTCTCCTCCTCCTCCTCTTCTTCTTCCTCCTCCCTGCTGTGGCTACTGCTGGGGAGGGAGGGTGAGAGGGCGGGAGAAAGGTGACTTGAGTTGAAGTCCCAAGCTGTACGGGGAGGGGTGGCTGAGGTTGGAGGGAGGGGGGAAGGGTGACGAGGGCGCCCTCTCGCCTGCTCCGCGCCCCTGCGCCCCTTCGCACCTGTGGCTGCTGCTGCTGCCGCCGCCGCCGCCGCCGCCGCCGCCGCCTCTGCCAGTGAAGCTTCTGCCGCCGCTGCAGCCGCTGCAGCGGCCCAGGGAGAGGGATCGCGGGGCAGAGAGGAACCGCCCGCCTCCTGGGTACCACTGAAGCCTCTCACACTTTTATGCTGCTGCTAGTCATCGACTTCTCCCCTCTTTTGCATACTATGCCAGTTCGAATCAACTTTCCGTCTGAAGTTGCTTCCCCCCCCTTTCCTGTCTCGTTTTCTTCTCCTGAAGATCCTTCTTCCCAACCCACCCCTCCCTCTTCTTCACCCAAGCACAACTCCAAGATAGGCGCACGCAGGGTTGAGAGCGCGAGCTCAGCCGTGCAACTCCCGGAGCGTGCAAAGCCAATTGCCTGGAAGGAGCAGCAGCAGCGGCAGCAGCAGACGCAGTGCCGGAGCCGCGAGGAGAGGCGGCGACCCCTTGCCTCCTGCTCCCACTCCCCTTCGAGGTACTAGAAAGCTGCGACGTGGAAGAGAAGAGCAAGCACTAGCGAGGAGAGGAGCGCTTCTCGGCCGGGCACACAGAGAGACTGAGAGCAGGATTCTGCTCCGATGCCACCTGCCAGGAGAAGAGGAGGCTGACAAACGCGCCCGAGCAATTTATAGGCACCCAAGGCACAGAGGAAGGGGAGCCGCTTTGGCATCACATTCCAGCATCTGCTCTACTCTTCCCACTCATAGGGAGTTTGGCATTACTCTGACAATGTGGGGATTTTTTTCCCCTTTTTTTTCTTTCTCTTCAAAAGGATGAACAGTGAAATCCCAAACACTCCCCTTGCTGGACCTGAGTGATGACATCTCGCTTACTTGGGGAGGGAGCGGGGGGGGGGGGGGGGGGCTGGGAGGGACAAGACAGCTTTCCAAGTCGCTGAACCTGGACCGAAGGGTCATTCCTGCCTTTGCCCTCCGTTCCCTCTACCAGGAGCAGCATCTGAATAATGGAGGTGAAAGGGCTTGGACCAACAATATTTCACCAAGGCCTGACTTCCATACCCATCCAGTGTTATGTGAAATAGCTTTTTTTTATTTTTTAATATAAGCACAGCCCTTTAGAATTTTTAAATGGCACAAGTGAAAGTTCTTTTGAAAGCACCTGGTTTTGCTGACAGGCTTCTTAAAAGAAGGAACTTTGTTTCTAGCAAGAAAGTTAGCATTCTAAACTTACTAAGGGTGCTGAAGTAACTCACTGTAGTTGGGAGTTAAGTCATACCTGCCATAAAGGCCAAACATTTTACATATATGGGACAGGTTTGTCTTTCCCCGTGCTCTGGAAACAGTGACCAAATCAAGCCCAACATTCTTCTGGAAACAGTGTGACATACATACACATGCATTGGAGTCAGACTACTGAGTGTTTCTTTTGTCCATGGATTTCATTTCTTAAAAGAATTTGGGTCCCTAAGAAAGTGACTGTTTGGCAAGCTGCATTCAGAAGTCCTCAGACAAAGCAGTATATCACAGGGCTCTGGAAAGGTCTCTCTTTGATACAGATACAGATATGTAGTTTCCATAGCAGATTTCCCATGTGTGTCGGGGGAAGGGTGAAGAGGAAGGGAAATGAGAAGGGGATGAGGAAGAATGGGCAGCTTTAGTGTGAGGTCAAAGAATAGTCTGAATTTGTAATATTAATGGAAGAGTCCCCAGAGGGGATATTAAGCAAGTTATCCTACCAACAAATACACAAGACACACCAAGAACAGCTTTAAATAAATAAGCAGCATTGATTCCTAAATCGTACTTCATTCAGGAGCAATGGACGTCAATCAAATGTGGATGACATTTGCTTGTCAATACCAGAATGATGGCTGAGAAGATGGTGACTTATTACAGCAAGCCAAGAATCCCAAATTAGAATCAGGAACAAATAAGATCACCACCCCCAAATAATAACCTCCTGGTGATGATCAAAAGTCTGTGATCTTACCTGTGATGTCTAGTAGGAAAAACCTTGTTCCCTCTGCTTTGCACCTTGCCTCCCTCACCCTGATCACTTTTATTTGGGAGTTTTTTTTTTCTCCCTGTTCCATAACACAATAAGGTCAAACGAACAGACAGGGAAACAAAGATGCATTGATTCTTTTAAGCAGAAATGTCAGCAACTCCTTTTCCTTTTTCCTGGGAGAATCGGAGCTAAAGAGTAAGGCCAGTAGGCACTGGGATGGGCTGGGTCACCTTAGCTTCCTGCCTAGCTGCTGACAAAACCACTGTTCTTACAACTTAGAAATATTCCTCCTTATCTCTTCTAGTCTCTTTCTTTTCCAATGGTGGTTTTACTTGCATGGATGCATGCATGCAAATATAATTTCTGTGTGCATGGTCTTTTGAGCAGATACAAGATTCTTATGTTACTCTTGGCCCCAATATATTTCCTCATGAATACTTTCCTGGAAAATACCCCTCTTCAAAAAAATGTGGGAGTATATAAAGAGGCTATTCTTTAAAACATCAACCAAAATACATCTACAAAGCCTGAGTATTGCCAAGACTATACAGGTGGTAGAAAAAGGGAGGGGGTAGTGAGGGATAAAAGGGATACTAGTGGGAACAGCAGTTTTAGAACTAGATCCATAGAAAGGGTCTGCAGACAATATATTCAGTATTTCTCCAGTGAGAGTGGAGGAGGTTAAAGCTGTATTGCCCTATGAGCTAGTCTGATCTGGGTCATTAGTTCTTTTGTCCTCCCTCTTTCACTGATACCAAACTCAAGTTTTGTTATCAATTTAGTACCCTCATATCTGAAAACTGGTTTAAGATTTTGAAAGGGACTTGGAGGTATTATTCATTCAGAAAATATTAAGTACCTACTATGTACAGATCACTCTTACCATCCTCGAGGGAGTGGGGAGGGAGAGATACAAAGTTTAGATAAGACAAAAATCCCTGCCCTCGTGAAACTTATAGTCTAGTAAAGAAAGACACCATCACAGAAAAATAATACTGAATGTTACATGAAAAATGTATTACAGAGAAGCAAGATAAAATGCTGTATTAGTTCTAAGGGGGAAGGCAGAGTGAGAGAGTACAAACTTACCTAACCCCCTATATCTAACTGGCCCCAGCCATGCCTCCTAGGGGTATCCCATTCACCAAAGGGCATATTACCATATGCCCTATCACTGTTTAGGTGCCCCCTTTCCTGCTCCACCCCTCCCCCCAGACCTCCTCCCATATGCATACCTTTTAGTCAGGGAACAGTAATCAGATCAACTCTACCATGAGAAGATGTAACAACTGACTGCACTATGGCTCCACTTACTATCCCAGTGATGTCCCACACCAAACTCCCTTCCTTGGCTACCACTGCCATACATGTCTTAGTTCCCCAATTAGAACATAAGCTTCTTGAAAGCAGGTACTATATCATCTTGTATTTGTATCTCCAACTCCTAACAGTTCACAGATTTGCCTTTTGGCCCTTTTGGTACTTAAATCCTTTCACTTAAAGTTATCACAGTGCAGAGAGATCATGGAAGGCTTCATGAAAGAGACAGCATTTGAGTTGGGCTCACAGGCAGGTAGGAATTCAGTAGGTAACGAAGGAAGGGGGGAAAGGACCTTTAAGGCACTGAGGACATTAGAATGAGAGAATCTACATGGGGAATGTCCCAGGAGGCACTGGGTATGCTGAGTTGACCAGAATATCAAGTGTTTGGAGGGAAAATAACATGAGATAATATTGGAAACATAAAATGGAGCCACATTGTGGATAGCCTTTAATGAGCTGGGCAAAAGAGTTGGAACTTTATCCATCAGATGATAGGGAAGCACTCAAAATTTTAGAGGAGGGACATAACCAAATATGTAGGCATATTTTGGCAGCAGTGTGAAGGACAAATTGGTGATGGCATAGACAGTCAAATGGGAAGACCACCTTGATTGCAGTTTTCAGTAAAACTGGCTTCAACCTACCATTGCTATCAACACCTAGATTCAGTTGGAGGAAATGGGCAGCTAGGTGGCTATAGTGAATAGAGTGCTGAGACTGGAAGGAAGACTCATATTCCTAAATTCAAAATTGGCCTCAGATGCTTACTAGCTGGGTGACCCTGGGCAAGTCACTTAACCCTGTTTGCCTCAGTTTTCTCATCTGTAAAATGAGCTGGAGAAGGAAATGGCAAACCACTCCAGTATCTCTGCTGAGAAAATTTCAAATGGGGTCAGAGAGAGTCAGACAGGACTGAAAAAAAATGACTGAACTACAAAAACAACAACTGGGGGAAATAAGACATGAAACTTGACTTACGAATGATAGGGTCCATTGATACACGGTCTATTCAAATGATAGGTCTTCTCCTCTACCCCAACGCTTCCATCCAGAAATATCCTCATCAACTAGCCTGGAATCAGCTCCCTTAGTTATCCTCCAAGCACTTTGTGGGCTGCCTTGTAGGTTAAGCCTATTCCTAGTTCCCTCAGGAACATTTTGGGTGGCTCTGAGGCCTCAGAAGTTTCACTCAGAAAGTACTCACGCTTTAGCTCTTGTTCTGACAGTTTGAGTAACCCATCTGATATGGCATATTACTCATCCTCTTTATATGTATATAATAATAGAAAATGTGTCAATTAAAACAATATT